GGAAGAGAAAAGCCCACTGCCCAAGGAAGAGAGGTGGATCACCTGACCCCCTGGAGTCAAAGAGATGTCAGGCACGAAAACCAATCCTGAATTGGCACTCGGCTGTCTTGTGTCCAGAGGGCACCTAGGAGAGCTGATCGCTGGAGCTGAAATGCACTCTCTGAGAGTGAGCAGCACGTAACTGGGAATGCTGTAAAGATTTTCCTTTCTCTACTGCAAAAGAGCTCCCCTCCCACGTTCTGGCCACACCCTTCAGAGACTGCATTACAAGTGTAGACAGGACCTCTTCTTCCTGTGGACCAAAACGGTACTGGGAGACACTAATGACTCTGCCCCTGAGTGTCTTGCATCTTCCTCTGAGCACACTCAGTTGCCCACTTGTTGGTGGACCACTGGTGACATGTGATCGGGTGGGGCCGAGCAAGAAGAGTGTTTGCTGTCCCTGAACAAAAGCTTGAAAAGTGGTAATGTCTCAAGGATTTCATGAGTGAGTACGTTATCATTAGGGGGAGAGGTGGGGAAGCGGTGGGAGGTCTGCTCAGTAGTGGAAGGAAACAGCGTCAGACAGTCCTGGGCACAGAGATGGTAGTCAAGGGGGAGCTGCTTCACTGGACTCAATCTTATGCCAGCACTCCCAGGGCAGCCCCAAGCCCGATCTCTGATATCAGGAGCCAGGGAACAGCTGTCTCACTAGGCCTTGTGCTGTTGGCCCGCAGTGGCCTCACACTTGGGAGGCATCAGGGACTTGGAGAAGTGGTAGCCCCCCTGCCACTGAGCATAACCTCAGGAAGTGGGCAGCTCCCACAGTCAGTACTCACAGGGATGCCAAGGCCTGTGCTGCTGAGCACACAGGGTGCAGGGAACTTTGCTGGGCTTGGGCATTCTGGTCACACCACTCCCCAGGACCAGAGTCTCCTCAGCTCTGGGCTCCTCTGATACCATCCATGAATGAAATCAGAGCATATCCAGCTGTACTCCACTCCCTCAGGACACCGAAAGCACTAGAGGTCTCTGGACACAAACCAGGAGAAGGTAGGATCCCTCAAAGGGAATATTCTAAACTTCTGGGCCTCCTGCCAAGTGTGGCACTTAACAATAATTATTAGATAATACATTCTTTCTGTTTAAAACAGATTTCAGAGAAAACTAAAGGGAGTAAAGTAAAAGAAGTCCATAACCTCTCCATGCCTAGGGATCAGCATATACAGTTTCTGGTATATCTTCTCAGAAATTTCTAACCAGTGTACTCTATTCAAAGCATTTGCAGTTATTTTACTAAGTAATTCGATTTATAAAAATCATCACTAAGGACCAGCAGTTAACATAATGGCTATGTTGCTGAACTCCCATGTAGTTGACGGCAGTTCGAGTCCCGGACCCGGTGGCTTAAACTCATGTCGAGTGCGTGTGCGTGCGTGCCCAAGATCCCGAGAGGAGAATGGAGAAGGGATTGCAGCGTGGCCATCTCCCCGAGGGGTGATTTCTCGCTTTCTCTCTCTCTTTGTCTTTCTATCGAGTGCATGCACCCTATAGCAAAAACCTCTCAAAAAAAATCATCACTAATTTATGAAGTGCACCTTATTTACATTGAACTTGGAAGTGGAAAACTAAAATTAAAAATGAAGTAGACGTTCAGTTCTTCAAAGTGCAGTTTTTGAAGTGGCCACCAGGTGTCAGAGTTTTCAACAGTATCCCCCACATTGCCACTGGAAAGTTACAAGAAGGGAAAAGTGCCTGGCTAGAAATGAGATGGCAGGTTCTTCCCTATACGGGATTCTTTAGCCCTTTAGCCCAATATTTTGTCTACTTAGGGTTGGGGGTAGGGAGTAAGAAGAGCTTCAGAAAGGAAGAAGTTCACAGACCACAAATTCCCATCCAGTTAGGTACCCTTTAATCTTCCGAGAAGTGTTAAATTTTCCACAGGAAATGTAGAACATGGCTAGGCAGGTCCTCCTGTGGCTGTGAGGCTACTTTTGGAAGCCAGGGCTCTCTCTCCTCTGGTCAGGCAGGAGCCCCGAAGGGATTGGCCATGAGCAGTAGAGGAAGATACACACTAGGAGAGTTCGGCTGCAGCCATCCGGTTCTAAAAAGGAAAATCCAATTCTGTAGGTAGTGCTCTTCCTATGCAGCCTTCAACCCAGTCAGCTCTTACTCCCTAGTGAACTCCTCTGTGCTTCCCTCATCGGGGCTGACCTGGCTGTCGTCTTGGACGGCTGACCTAGAAACATTCGTCCTCCAAGCCCAGAGCAGGGTGTGGGCGTCTCCCTCACAACCACCAGGCTGTCGCCCAGTGATAGTTACAGCTCTCTTCCTCCAGGGCCCAGCAGGGGCCTGAGCGAGGCAGCCTGGTCACTCTGCTCCTGGCCCCACACGCCCAGCCCTGGTGGAGTCAACAGACCATGGAGGACTCCAGGCGGCTCCCATAGCAAGCCTCATCCAGGATCTGCTTGAATCACCAACTCCCTCCGGGCAGAAAAGGGCTGTTTCAACACCGCCTAGGTTGGGGAGGGGACAGAGACCATGGATCCAGAATGAGCAAACCTCGTCCCTGGGAGGACACCGCTGAAGAGTGTCCAAAGGAAAGGAGAATCCTTACAATGGGTCCCAGCAGGCACTTGTTTCTGGACTGCATTCTATTTCTGAGCAATGGGGCTAGGGACGACATTCAGACCCACCAAATACTGGGGCTTTCCATGGATGGAACTTTACTGCATAGATTGATGCCAAGCTTGTGTGAGGGGGGAGGACGTGGTAGGAGGAGAGAGGAGGAGGAAAGAATTCAATACTTCATGCACAATGTTTCGGATATTTCAAGTCCACTTGAGACGTGATTTCCATGATTCTGACAGGCAGATTAAGGCGACCTTTTGATGAATTGAATGACCACATCTGCTAAACTGGCACAGCCTATATGGGCCACATGAGGCAGCAGCAATTATTTTAGTCACCGCACACCTTAAATGCTATATATATCATTTAAAATGATACACCCGTAGTGCCATACGCATAATAAAAATGCCAGTTATTATTAAAACCTTGGTAGTATCCATGTTTGAATGTGACTATGCATTATGATTGATGTTTCAAACATAAAGTACAAGCCAAATGCTTCATACAAAAATAAAAAGGGGTAAGACAATGTCTAAATGGGGATCTCTGTTAATTTACCACGACTGGTATAATGACTGTTGCTTTGATGTGGCTACCACAGGTACAGTAACTGAGGTTTCCCTCTATTATCCTATGACATATAAGACGTATAGAACAGAAAGGACCTCTTCTAATGCTATCCATATGATATTTCCGATTGTTTCAGTAAGAACGCTCTCCTTAGGAGGGTCAGACTGAGCCAAGGGTGGGGACCATCCAGCCCCACCTTCATTTTCTCTGGGTTTGTCTACTTCGAGGAGGCCAGGTTAATGGTGGGCCTCCCAGGGTAATGGTGGGCCTCCCCTCTGGCACGCACGTTACTGTTTGGTGATTCCTGGATAATCCTGGACCTATTAGATTGCTCATTAGTCAAAGGGTATTCCAAATACCTGCAAAGTCTTGCTAGCAGTTGCAAGTTCTATCTCTTAGGCCGTTCAAATGACAAGGGCTTCATGAGGCAAGGACAAACTCTACCAGACAACTTGTACCTTGAGATCTCCAGGCTCTAGATCCTCTGGAAACCGAGCAACCCACAGGGAGTGGGGGGAGAGGGAGGGAGGCAGGACCCTCTTCACTTGCCACTCCCCCCTCCAGGTTAATCATGTTTTGGGTAGGTGAGTCAGAGAGGAGGTGGGCGGTTATGTTTGTTTTGCCATGTGTATGGTGTGCTAATGACAATGACTCCTCCCTCTATAAATTCTTCTCCACGAGAAACTCCTCATCCCAGCTCTGCGTTCAGCCAGGCAAAAGCCTTGATTCAGAATCTCCAGTCTCCTCCTCAGCATCAGAGGCCACTTCCCTTCTAGAAAGCAAATAAGGAAATCATGGACGTGAACACACAGAAACAGAAGACTTCAGGAGTCGGACGTGAGTTTGGACGGAAAGTAAGGGCAAACTGAAGGCCCAGACAGGTCACTGACCGTAATTATCCCTCCTATGAGGGCAGCTTTCTTACCTGTAGCCAAGCAGTTTCTGAGGCCATGACAAATAGCTGTGCCTGTCGAAACCCCAGAGGAAGCATTCCTCACCAGGTCGCCGAGCCCAAACGTCAGTGACAGGAACCAGAAAAGTAAACAGACTGCACGAATAGAAACGAGAGAGAACTGGTTCTCCTGCCTTCTAGATGGTTCATGACATTTCAATTATGCTCAACACAATAGAGCTGAATTACTTTTAACCTGACGGAGGCTTTGTGAAAGAAACACTATTGATAGTTGGTAGAGTTTAGGGATAGCTAGAAACACAAATCAGAAATAAATTCACAAGTAGAAATAAGCCTATTCACAATACTGAGCAGGTGAGTCATGGTACCTTTTATTCAAGAAACCATGAGGTGGGACATTTTGGATGTTGCTAATTTGTCGTTTGTTTCTCAGAATAATATAGGGCATTTCTTTCAAGTAATTCTTTTTCACCTCTCTCTCTCTCTCTCACACACACACACACACACACACACACACACACACACACATTCTGTCCCTCTCTGATCAAATTAAAATGAATAAGGTTAAATAAAAATAATTCTAAAAGAAAGGAACTTTAAAAATAATTTTAAAAAATAGGGAACCAGCAGTTAGCGTAATGGCTATGTCGCTGGATTCCCACGTAGTCGACCGCGGTTCGTGTCCCAGACCCGGTGGCTTAAAACTCACGCCGGGCGCGTGTGCGTGCGTGCCCAAGATCCTGAGAGGAGAATGGAGGAGAAGGGATTGCGGTGTGACCATCCCCCCTGGGCGGTGATTTCTCGCTTTCTGTCTCTATGTCTTTCTCTGTCTGTCCGGCGAGCGCACGCGCCCTACAGTGAAAATCTCTCCAAAAAATAAATAAATAAATAAATAAATAATTTTAAAAAATAGAAGAAACACCACAGTTATTCTAACCATGATGTTGGAATTTGCAACCTCCAATACTTACAAGTGCCAAGCAGATGTTCTGTAATACCATCTTGAGATGTATTCCTCTGTCCCTGAAACACTTCACTTTTGTTTGCTTTTGCTAGACGGTGTGTGTTTGTGAGAGAGAACAAGGGAGAGAAAGAGGGAAAGAAGAAAGCGCCCCACACACACAATGGAGTATGGCCATGCTGCAACCCCTTCTCCAGCTCGCCCTCCCTTTGGGACTTTGGTCAAACACACACACACATGCCCTGCATGTTTCTCAAGCCCTTGAGTCCAGAACTCGAACCATGTGGTTGGCCATGTGGAATGCCTTAACCATCAGGTCGTGGAACCAGTCCTATTTTACTTTGTTTAAATATCCATTTTTCCTGAAATAAAACACACTTTTAATAAAGACAGTGGTGGGACAGTCTATGACCTAGAGGAGAAGGGGTTGCATTGACCACGCCCCATTAGGCAGTATTCTCTTTCCCTATTTCTGTCTCGCTCTGGCAAGTGCACACATCTGTCTCTCTCTGGCAAGGGCACACACCCTCGGGAAAAATTAAAAAAAAAAAAAAAAGAAAGATAGGATTATGAAAAAAGGGTCTTGTTTGTTTTTTATTTGTTTATTTTATTTTTAAAGATAGGGTCTCACCATATTGCACTGGTTGGCCTCGAACTTGCACTTTCTTACCTCAGCTTCATAAATAGCTTGGATTACAGGTGTGTGCCATCACACTCAGTTTTACTTTCCTCTCTCTTTTTTTTTTCAGTTTATTAATTTCTTTCAAGAGAGACAGAGAGAGAAATGGGTACTCCCAAGAGGTCTCCCCACCGTGATCTACCCCAGCCAGCCCAGGACAGGGTACACATCCATGTGCCAGTGTGTACGGGGAGACCTCAGGATGTGAACCCAGGATCTTCCAGTGTAGGTCCAGTATCACATTTAAAAAAGCATTGCATTACTGCTGTGTTACCTACTAGCTCCCCATTTTCCTCTTAAGTTTGCTATCAGAAATAAAGCAGCGCAAGTTTAGCCATAAATGGCAGCTGAAAGTCAACCTCAAGGTCTGAGATGCCATAGGGAGTAGTGGAGACTGTGAACTGGAGAGGGTATAACCTATACCAAGGCAGAAGCTACTATTAATGCCAGTCTTTGCAGATGGAAAAGGCCCTTAATGTAACCATCTTTCATTATTTTCCAGCTTAATACTTATCTTGCAGAGAAGTGAACTCATCTTTGAAGAGAATCCAGAAGTCCAGATTCTTATGTGTAATTTCCTAGTTTTAAAATATGGATTATCAGGACCAGCAGTTAGTGTAATGGTTATGTTGCTGGATTCCCATGTGGCTGACCGCAGTTCAAGTCCCAGATCCGGTGGCTTAAACTCATACTGGGTGCGTGTGCCTGTGTGCCCAAGATCCCAAGAGGAGAGTGGAGGAGAAGGGATTGCGGTGTGACCATAACCCTGGGGTGGGGGAGGGGGATTTTTTGTTTTCTGTCTCTCTGTCTCTTTCTGTCTTTCTGGCAAGTGCACGCCTATGGCTAAAAACCTCTTCAAAAAAATATATATATATGGATTATTAGCTCAAAATTATATATTATTAGCTCATATATATATATATATACACACAAACACACATATATGGATTATTAGCTCAAAAAAAGTCATCAGAGGCCAGCCAGTGACATGGTGGCCACTGGATCCCAACATAGCTGACTGCATGGTTCAAGCCCCATACTAAGCAGCTTCAAAAACAAGCCAGGCATGTGTGCCCCAAATGAAGGGGAGAATGAATGAGAAGGAACTGCAGTGTGGCCATCTCCCCTGGGATGCCTTACTTTCCCTCTCTCTATCTCTCTCCTGTGAGTGTACAAGCCCTATAGCAAATTAAAAAAAAAAAAAAAAAGTCATCAGTGCACCACTTTGCTTCCTCTCTTTATTGACTAGAGACTGTATGACTAGGGGAAAAGAACTACCCTAGAAGTCAGGAACCTAGCGCTGTTACACCCAGCTCTAATACCCACTATTTCCCTGGGCAAGACACCTAATCGTTCTGGACCTCGCTGCTTTGTCTGAATGGTTTAGGGTCCAACATCCTCAATTACTGTAGTAAATGGTTTAATAAGTTTTCTAGATGATCAATTCTCACAAAAATAACCAGGCCCATAAAGGAAAACAAAACAAAACAGAAACTGGATCACTGTGCCACAGCAGGCTCTATTTCCTTGTTGAGGCCAAGCTCCTTGGTTAATCTAATTAGTGACATAGTTTTTATATTATATGGCCCACCACATGGTTCAAGTCCCAGACCCAGAAGCTTAAAAAACACACCCAAAATCACAAAAAGGAGGGAGAAATGGAAGAGGAGGGATTGTGGCAAGACTATCCCCAAAGGGAGGTGCCCTCTCACTTTATTTCTCCCCCTTCACCCTCGGCAAATGTGCACACACTCTTCAAAATGAAAAAAAAAAAAAAAAAAAGAAAAAGAATTAACGTATAACCACAAGAATGTGAACACTTTTATCAGACCAGATCTCCTTTTTGACACCCACTCACTCATAGGAAAAATTAAAAGTGTGTATCTCCAGTACATCACAACTGGCAGGAAGTGCCTCTCTGTGAAAACAGAACTCTCTTGATCTTTTCAACTCAGACCCAGAGCTACAAGGGGAAATTCTGAGCCAGAACAAAGCTGACCACCAGGCTGCCTGTGGCACGCATGCTCAGCCTACCTGCTACGAGCTCTGGAGTTGCCACATGGTGGCCTCCTGCTCGAGCCAGCTGTACCAGGAACAGCTCTTGTTACGTAACCCTCAGCCGAGGCCCATCTGTGTACACAAGCACATGGCCTGTCCTACACAAAGCACACAGCATTTCAGATACGGCACCTTGTTTTTCAGAAAGAACAGAAAGGGCATAAATAATATTAAGCTAGAAAATAATGAGGGTTGGGTAAATTAAGGGCCTGTTCCCACTGTAAAGTTAAAATAAGCACATTTCACAGCAAATGGAGTGTTCACATTCTTGTGGTTATATCATCTATGTGCTCGGACAGTGAATTATAACTGGGCAGCTTCTTCACCCAGGCCACCTTGATGCATCTAGGCTAGACCCAAGTGAAATGGGGAAGGGGTATTTATTTGCCCCCCTACATTCCTAAGTACATTTGTGCATCAGGTATAAATAATAGGGCCTTTTCATGTTGCTATTAGCAGCTGCCAATAAGGATCTAGTATATACTAAAGAATGATTTACCTTTGGCTCCAAAATTAGTCCTGTCTCATACAGAGGCATTTTCTTCACTGTGCCCTGTTATTACCCTGGGGTAACCAGGGTGTCCACTCTAAAAGTCAGCTCGTTCCTACGCTAAGTTCTCTGTATTATCTATTTCTTCTGCCTGGAATACTCTTTTTTTTTCTTATTTTTGGAGAGGTTTTTGCTATATGACGCATGCGCTCGCCAGAGAGACAGAGACAGAGAGACAGAAAGCAGGAAATCACCCCCCAGGGGGGATGGCCACGCTGCAATCCCTTCTCCTCCATTCTCCTCTCGGGATCTTGGGCACGCACGCACACATGCCCAGCATGAGTTTAAGCCACCGGGTCTGGGACTCGAACCGCGGTTGACTACGTGGGAGTCTAGAGACATAGCCATTACGCTAACTGCTGGTCCCTGGGAATACTCTTTACCCTGATCTTCATAAAATTATTTCATTTAGGGCCAGCAGGTGTCATGGAGGTTAAGGCAACTGGATCCCATACGGCTGATGGTATGATCTGAGTCACAGACCTGGCAGCTTGAGAAACATAACAATTACATGTGCCTGAGTGCCCCCAGACCTGAAAGGAAGGAGAGATGGAGAAGGGATTGTGGTGTGACCATCCCCTGTGAGGGTGCTTTCTCATCACCTCTCTGTCTTTCTCTATTGAGTGCATATGCCTTGTGGCAAAAATATATTTTAAAGAATTATTCACTTAATTGTATTTATTACTATTATTTTTTAATTTGACTGTAGAGAGAGAGAGAAAAGGAAAGTGAGAAAGCAAGACTCCAGATCTAGGATTCACCCATGTGGGAGTCCAGTGCCTTAACCACCAAGCCGCCTGCCAACCTCCTGGAAAAAAAATTTTTGCTACAGGGAGCGTGCACTCACCAGAAAGACAGAGAGAGACAGAGAGACAGAAAGTGAGAAATCACCCCCCCCGGGGTTGGGGGGTGGCCACGTTGCAATCCCTTCTCCTCCATTCTTGTCTTGGGATCTTGGGCATTCACACACAAGCACCCAGCATGAGTTTAAGCCACCAGGTCCGGGACTCAAACCATGGTTAACCACATGGGAGTCTGGCGACATAGCCATTATGCCAACTGCTGGCCCTGAAAAAATATTTTTAAAAAGAATTTTTTCTAAGTACCTACCCATATATTGTGTCATATGACCCTACTTTTTTTATTTTGGTTTTTGCCATAGGGCACATGTGCTTGACAGTAAAAGCGAAGTGAGAAATCACTCCCCAGGGGATATGGCTATACCGCAATCCTTCTCCTCCATTCTCCTC